ATTTTTCTCCACATATGAACCTGTTCAGAAAAACAAAGTTGCTTTTATCGGTGATTTCAATCCCAACACAAATGTAAAGAAAACTCATATTAATAATTTTTAACGCTAGGGGACCTAGCAAAATATAACACCCTCTCAAACATATGGAAAAACATATTGGATCATGTTATTGTTAACTTTGAATGTGAGGTAACAAGAGATCATCTTCCGCTTGTGCTGCATACCCTTAACATTTACATTTGACATGCAGGTAAACCCAGATGCCGGGTTTAGTGACTTTCCAACCTCCAACACAAGTAGAAACTATAACTTTAAAATAAAGCCAGTTCAAACCTGATGTATCATCTACTGTGTCGTAAATTGGGACACTTTAATCAATGAAACTAATGTTAACCAAGTCATCAATCATTTTTATAATACACTTTACAGCATTTTCGACCAATCTGTCCCATTCATTATATTTTAATAAAAAATCAAATAAAGTTATGTTTACCCTAGCTAGTACACCAAAGAAATACTAAACAATCTTAGTGAGAAGAATAATAGGCTTCATAAAAAATTAAAAAATACAAAAAAACTGGCTCAAACTTGGACTACCAAGCATACTCATACATGAGACGTGTGATAAAAATAAAAATTGATGTTGCATACAAAGCATAATAAGTGATACAGAATCTTCAATCAAGAGGAATCCAAAGTACTTCTGGAAATACATTCGTCAAAAACGCCTTAAAACACGTATCCCAACTAAATTAATTTCTTGTCAATCCTCCCTGGATTGTCCACAGAGTATAATAAATGGCTTCTCTGAGTTTTTTAAAAGTGTGTATGAAGCTTATTCAGATTTTAGTTTGGATAGTCTGAACGAGGCTGGGCAATTCTAATATAAATGTCACCCACATTACTGAATGTCAAATCAATGAATCCCTAAAAAAAATAAAAAACTAACATACTTCTGGTTATGACAAAATACCATCTTTCATACTACGTGGCTTTGCACTGTGCACTGTGCCCCGTCTTACATCAAAAATGCACCACATATTTAACTTAGCAATCAACACACACACTTGCCCTGATCACTGGAAAAAAAACTAAAATATGTCCAGTATTCAAGGGTGGGGATATCAACAATATCTCTAATTATAGACCAATTTCCATTTTGTCCAATTTCTAGAAGGCCTTTGAGGTTTGTGTATATGACAATCTCTTCCATCAAGTTAAAAACTCAATTACCACCATACAGCATGGATTTTATAGCAGACGCTCAACTATCACTAACATAACTACTTTCCTGAAAAGGGCATATCATGCTATAAATGAAAGAAAACAACTTGATGTGATCTACACGGATTTTTCGAAGGCGTTCGATAAGTTGGATCATAGGCTTATTGCTCAAAAAATGCTCAAAATTAGGTTTCACAACAACTGATGTGAAATGTTTGGATCAATTTTCTTTGCTATTCCATCCACAGACGCGTTTCGACCTATCAGGTCTCGCCAGTGTGGCTAGGAAAGCAAAGAGTTCTGTGAGCAAAGAACGCCAATTCAAGTTTAGTGCCTGTAGGCAAAGTAGATGTAGTACGACGAGCGAAATTTGCCAAGACTAGGATTCAACACTAAACAGCACTTTTGCTGTTTTAGTACTGGCCATCTAATAGGCCGACCAAAAATCAGTTAGATGGGAAAACTCAGAATAGGGAAAACAAGTTTTCTCCTATTATCCACTGATGTGAAAATTTTGGATTAGATGTTTCACAACAACTTTATTAACCTATCTATCTACAACCTCCGTGGTAGGTCACAATCTGTTGAATACAATGGTTTCCAATCTTATGATTATAATGCCACCAGTGAAGCCTCTCAGGGAAATAATCTTGCGTCTCTCTGATATTTGATGAGGTTGGTGTCAAAATATACAAAAATCTTATACAGGGTATTCCATTTAAAACGAAACAGGCTAAATATCTGATACCACGTTTAGTTTTAAAAAAAAACGCTCGTTTTCTGCAACCATTTTTAGCACTTCAACTTCAACCCTCTAGGCGGGGTGGGACCAACCCTTACTATTATAAATGGAACAAGGGGTCGAGTGATACCTCTTTTAAAAGAGCATTCAATTCTCTTTCATTTGATGTCATTTGAAAGAAAATTGAACGGTCTTTTGAAACAGGTATCACTCGACCTCCTGTTCCATTTGGAATGGTAAGGGTGGGTCCTAGCCCCCCTAGAGGGTTAGGTTAGTGCTGAAAATGTTTTAAACACTCACACAATCAAATTACGTATATGGACGATTTAAAAAAAAATAAAAGTGGCATCAGATATTCAGCCTGTTTCGTTTTAAATGGAATACCCTGTATCTAAACACACACAGTTTTCTTTTGAGAGTCGACTGAATCTGGGATCTTGGGGTGGTGATCGACAAAAAACTCATATTTAATGACCACTTTGATTAAATTGAAAACTCTAGGGTTTATCATCAGATCAACAAGAGAGTTTAGGAACATGGACAGTCTCATTACGTTTCACAACTCATTGGTCAAGTCTAAATTGCCATATGCTTCTCTGATGTGGTTTCCTTACCATCAATTAGGCATGTGGACAGGCTCGAGTATGTTTAACGGCGATTCCTAAGATATCTGAGTTTCAAAAAGGATGGAATTTACCCTCCAAGAGGATTTGACCACCACTTGCTACTCAATAAGTTCAACTTCCTTTCTCTTCAACAAAGTACAATCTAAGCAAGTCGACTCTTTCTTTTTTACTTATGTAACCACCTAGTAGACTCTGCTGATCTTCACATATCTTGTCAGAAATGAGCCAATCTATGGAGCGTGTCATATTACAATCACCTGCAGAACGATGCTGATATAGACTTATTTGTAGGTTAGTGTGGGTAAATTATTTAAAAAAAAATATATCTTGCCAGTACCTAATGCGCAATCTGTGATAATATGTTTGTTGTGATAGCTATTTTATCTCATTTTGGTTGAGTTAGGATTTTTTTCTGTATACTTTTTTATATCTATAGGCTGTTTATTTGCGCACTGTGTGCTTCTTGGGTGGGTCGATGACTATTTGTATATTTAAATAATGCTTGTTTTTCTTATTTTTATTGTTATTTCTACTGGTCCACTGTTTGGTCACCACTGAATTTTAGGTCCAAAAATAGTGTATGCCAACATTTTTTTTGCTTGTTCTTTTTCCTGTTTTGTTATCAGTTGATGATGTGATTTACAGTGTGCGCCATAAAGTTGGGTACATATGGGAAAATTCTTAAGTATTCCTTTTTTCAAAAAACTTTTTTTGGGGATCGTTTAGGCATGTTCGATAACCAAAAAATCGACTATGACACATGTCATGCGATTATCGGTTAAGCGGGAATTTTGAAAAAAGTTGATATTGATGTCGAAAAACGGGTAAATTTGACAAGATATCAAAAAATTTTATAAGAAAAAGTTGTTCAGAATCCAAAAAGAACTCCACATGCCGATTTTGAAGCAAATCGGAGAACAAAAATAAAACTACTTATTTTACCCATACCATTAAATGGAAAATCGAAAATATTAATTTTATTTCAAAAATTTATTCAACTAAACTACATAAGTTTGATATCAAACGAATCTATTGTTTTGCGAAATATACACTTGAAGGTCATAAATTAGAAAATACCGTCCGGTCGTGTCGCTATAACTGTACCCATGTCACTTTTTGCACATTTTCTGGTCATCAGAAAAATAACATGACATGTGTCATAATCGATTTTTTGGTTATCGATCATGCCCTAACGATTCCCAAAAAAAGTTTTTTGAAAAAAGAAATAATTAAGAATTTTCCCATATGTACCCAACTTTATGGCGCACACTGTATGTTCTGTTTATACCTATTTTGCAGAAGTCTGATTTTTGATTTTTTAATTTTCTAGATTTGAACTGTTAGATATAGTGTTAGCTTTAAAATCTTTATATTTTGTTTGCTTAAGTGCACCTATTGTCTTGTTATTGGGAGTATTGCTGTTAGACAATAAAAAATTGAATTTGAATTTAAAAAAGAGGAGATCATGTAAATAATGTTGTGCCGACTTGAGTTCTAGAGAAAGACATAATCAGAAAATCAAATGGTAGAACAAACATGTTTATATCTAAAGGCCGATTCGAATTTTGTCCCTCAACTTTTCAAAAGTTTTCGAAATGTTTCAGTTTTGGTTTCTTTCAAAAAGTGTCCAGAACTGGCAGAACTGGACGTCTTTCCTTTTTTCTTGGTATTTGAGCAAAATAAGCTTTGCAAAATATCACAGGATATTTAAATAGTCAATAAAATTATAATTTTTTTCCAGTATGTGGAAAGTTCACCTCCTTTCCATTCCTGTTCAATAAAATTATTCACTCTGTAATTTCGAGCACACACGCCTGGCTTCAGTAATTCCGAAAATATTAAATTCACCACGCACGGGATCATTTGTATGCTCACAGTTTACTTTATTACGGAACACGGATAATTCTGGATTAGGTGTTTAAACGCTCAAATCCATCTGGCCTGTGCGTATAAACAAAATAGCTGCATATCGGCAGAGTTATCCACAAGGCCCCTAAAACTAACACAATATAAATCATGCCCCGCAGTCCTGGTCTCTATTTATTTTTTTGCGTTTTTTTCTAGTCTTTCAAAATGATCGTTTGTCAGTCTAGATTTATATGTATATTTTGGAAATGAGGGATATTAAGCTGGTGATTTAATCCTGGCCTGTCCAAGTGTATATTGATGTAACGATTTTTTTATGTCACCTTTAATGGGTTTGTTTGAGTATTGTCAAAATAAAGGGAGACATGGATTTATTTTTGAGAGAACGATGTGAAGCCAGATTAAATATATCCGCTTAGGAGGAATTGGGAGAATTTTATGTTTAAATTATGGAAATCTGGTATAGGTAATTCAAATCAATAGCTCATATATAATTGATTTTCATTGGAAATTCACTCCTAAAATGCAAAATTATTACTTACAAGTTTAATATCCTCAATCAATTTATCCAACGTCGGCGTCTGATCGACCTTCTCCTGCACCTTTTTATGCTTTTTACTTTTCCCACTATTCAGCTTCATAGTTTCATAACGGATTTCCATGTTCGGATTTTCTTCCGGCGGATTTTCGTAGCCCGCCTTCCTTCGCACTCGTTTCAATCCCACCGAACCGCATTTGGCTTGGATTTTTTGTGAAACGTCCGCGCCGATTTCTTGGAAATTCATTATGGCTTCGGAAATTTTGATGTTTAGAGGTTCTACGACTGAATCCACGTTGTAAGGACCGATTAGGCGGTCCGCGACTTTTTCGATGGCATCTACAAAGAACAAGAATGAAAATTTTATCATATGTATTTTGTGCTAAGAGATATGTTTATGTTTGGGGCCCTCAAAAGATTGTCAATCATAACATGAATTAATTAAAATCTCAACTTTTGTTAATTTCTTGACTGTCATTTTATAGGGATTTTGTATGGCTATAAGCTATGTCACGATAGCTGCCGCTTGCCTTTTGGGATGTGTTGTGAAGTTCCGAATAACATTTTTAAACATTTTTTAATATTTCAGATTTTTTCAAGTGAAACGTAAATCATCTCCTTGACCTGACATCATTTTGTATGTTTAAAAAAATGTAATTTTGAGATCAAACAATTCTCTAGGCTTTTTTTCTATTTAAAAATAAATGTTTGCATTAGGTTTTTTCGGCATCCTTAGAACTGTCTCATTTAATAGACATCTTTTAAAAATAGGTCTCAAGAGGATACTCTGAAATAAAGATTGATGAAGTGCCATGAATATGTAGGTAAATAAGCTATTTTTAATCTAAATAGTGTCATATTAGATATGTGTTCTATCTACTGGAAGAAGAAGAAAGAAACTAAATACCTACATAATATCTCATCACTATTTTATTGAATTTTTATGTGTTTTAGTTTCATTGGTCTTCTCAGTCTATTGCATAGGTACATTCTTGGATCTTTATAAACATAGGAGGCTTTTTTTAGAAAATGTTTAAAAATTATCAGTGGTTTGGTGAACATCAGGCAGCAAACAGCATCATGAAGGATCAATATCACTTCCGTTGCATGTATGAATTAAAATTTAAAATAATTGCCTACTCTTCACAAGTAGGGCAAGCTCATTTCTTTCTTTGGATCGAATTAAGTTATTAGAGTTTGAGCTATGTTTCAGGGACACGCCAATCGATAGAAATCTTTCTCTTTTCTGTTTGAATTCAGATGGTGTAAAGTATCTACCTATCTACGTCCCAAAATATTTATCAATGATCAATGTAGCCAGGTCAAAAAAATTAAATTCACCAGAAATTGGAATGAAAAATCACCAGATTTGAAAAAAAAATCACCAGAAATCTTGAAAGTTGATTTCTCAGGAAAATTCTCGCCTTACGGGCTTATATCAAACCAAGTAGGCTTTGGAAACATGTATGTATTGCAATGTCGATATTACAGGGCGCCATATTTAAAATTCAAAATTTTGGAAAGCCTACTTTGTCCCTTGTCAAACAGTGTTGCCAACTACAACTTATAACAAATATTGTGTCAATCATTGAGGCTCGAATTTATACAAAAAAAAGCCCAAGTAGGCCTTGCAAATTTCAAATTTTCCATAACAGTAATTATATAAACATCGGCAACACTGTTGGGCAAAATGTCAAATATCATTTATGACAAGTAATAAGATTACTACTTATCAAAAACTAAGTGAACCTTGTAGAGAAAACATGCTCTCGAGCTACATCAGCCATTTGGTCATGCCGAAGACTTGTTGGCAAAACATGGGGGCTAAAGCCAAAGATGGTATTCTGGATCTACCAAACCATAATAAAGCCTATGGTCACATACGCCTCATTGGTGTGGTGGCCCAAAACCCAAGTCACTGCTCAGATTAAGCTAAGAAAGGTGCAAAGGCTGATATGTCTAGGAATAACGGGAGCAATGTCAACTTGCCCCACCGCAGCCCTAGAGACGCTACTCAACATGCCCCTACTTCACCTATGTGTGAAAAAGGAGGCAATAACCAGCGCTCACAGGCTATTCCAAATAGACAAGTCCAAGCCTGGCGATCTGAGGGGACATCTGAAAATCGTTGATCTAATAACACTGGAGAATGCCAGCAAACCAAGTGGCCACATGATGGTCAGATTGGACTTAGAGATCCCCTTCGCAGTGGTAATAAACGACCGCCAATCATGGGAGAATAAAGAACTACCACAAGCAGACAATGCATCTCTGTGGTACACAGATGGATCCAAGCTAATGGTAGGAGCTGGACTGGGCATTTCCGGCCCTAACTTCAAGCTCTCCAAGGCATTGGGTAAACATCTTACAATATTTCAAGCCGAACTGCTTGCCATAGATATATGTGCACAAGAGTGTCTTAACCAAAGCCTCAAAAGAAAACACATCTTCATACTATCGGACAGCCAAGCTGCCTTAAAAGCCTTGAGGGCTTTCAAATGCACGTCAAAACTAGTCTGGGAGTGTAAACAGACCCTAAAAACACTAGTGACACAGAACCAGGTAACGCTGATGTGGCTGCCTGGTCATCGAGGCATAGAAGGAAACGAAGAGGCAGATGGCCTCGCAAAGGAAGGGGCCTCAACACCATACCATGGACTAGAGCCCTACTGTGGCTTAATGAAAAGCCACATCATGGAAGAACTCAACAAATGGGAGAAAGACCAACTGTCATCATATTGGAGGCACACACCGGGACTCAGACAGTCAAAAAGGTTTATTACCCTTTCAGCAAAAAGAGCTGAACAGCTCCTAAGCATGAGCAGACCAGACATCAGATTGGTGGTGGGACTGCTCACAGGACACTGCCCAGTAAAATACCATTTAAGGTTAATGGACAGAGCAGAAGACGATCTCTGCAGATTCTGCTCAGACGCAATAGAAACCGCAGAGCACCTGCTCTGCGAATGTCCAGCCCAATTCTGCAAGAGGCTCAAATTCCTCTAGGGGGCAACACTGTCACCAGAAGAAGTGGGCCAACTGACACCCAGGAAAATAGCTTCCTTCGGCAGAAGTCTACGCTTCCTGGAGACAAATTAAGATGTAGAGTCACGCACAAAATATCTGCAAAGGTAGCAGTGCTGAGCGGCTGAAAAGCCGAAACGACTCCCCCGAAATCTACAAGCTACAAGTGAACCTTGAAGCAATCCTGGGCTGGGATCATGACAAGTAAAATTCTATTTTCATGACGTCACCCGCGACCTATTTATCGCGTATACTACAGGCGATGATCACTGTTGCTAGGCAAGCTGACGACATGAAAGTAGAATTCTGGTGGAATTCTACTTGTCGTGATCCCAGCCCAGGTTTTAATCGATGTCGGTAATACAGATAACTGTAAGCAAAAAATTTATCAAATCAAGTAGGTCTTGGAAACAACCTAGCCATTTTGAATTATCTGTCAAAAACTACAGGGCCTACTTTGAAACGTTAAATTGCGTAAGGGTTACTACATTTTTAGACTTGTTGCTACGTTTTAAATTTTTCTTCCAAAACCTAATAATTTTGTGAATTTTAACAAATCTTTTGCTAAAACCAGTTCAGAAAAAATGTATTTCTATCTCTTTTTGATACAAACTAGTGAAAAAAACACGAATACATTCAGTGCACACTAATGCTGTTGAAAAAATGCAAATTGAATAAAACAATTAAGCAAAAATAGAGCTTCTAGAGACGTAATTTTAATATAAAAAAATCGTAAGTTTGACAGCTACACTTCGCAGACCCATAGGGTCGGAGTCTTTTTAATTTACGAGCCCGAAGGGCCGGGGTCTACTTAAGTTACGAGCCCAGAGGGCCGGGGTCTTTTTCAATTACGAGTCCGTAGGGGCAAGGGTTTTTATGTGTGGTCACCTTCATCGTGTGTATCTGGTTTTTTAGTCTCAATTTTTCGGGATTTTTTTTTATTTTCTGAATTGAGTACGGGAGGAAACTTCAATTAGTTGAATTTTTGTTACTTCCCGGAAAAGATTATAATATTTGGGTTTGACTGTTTGACTCTTAGATGACATTGTGGCCCATAGACAAAATGTCGGATTCGAAATTCGATAATGCCATATGGTACAGGAGAAAATGTGGCTCATCGTTGCCACATTTTGCACAATATCTTAAGAAGCTTAACAATTGGATATTGTTTTGAGAATCAAATGATTGCTTAGAGGAAATCAGGTAATCAATTGAGAATGATATAGGAATCCCCAAAAAAATGGAAATCACCTGGTAAAATATTTAACAATCATAAGTAACTAGTTGTAATTCTTGGGAATACATGGGATTTATTGATCAGTGATTGTAGTAAAATTCAACTTTGAGACTCAATTGTTCATGAACATGTCAGGATTTTTCTTTTAAATTTAGATCCAAAAAATCTTCCTGCAATATTGTCATTTTGAAATAATGTTAGATTTTTTTTCGACTAATTTAGACCCGCTCTATCGATTGAGAAAGTTAAAATTACGAGAATCTGAAAAATGAAAATTTTGAGTTTTTGAATTTTTTCCCTTTTGGATTTTTATTTCAATATTTTCAAATTTAATTTTCTCGGAACTCGTCAGAGATTTTGGATCAATTTTTTTTTTAAATTGTAGCTTCTAATAAGGGCTTCAAAATGGTACTCAGTTGAAGTAGTTGGCATTTACGGTTTTTGAGAAAATCGAGTTTGAAGTTTTTGACTAAATTTCATCTAAAATCCAACTTTGAGGCTCAATTTCTCCAAAAGTATTCGAGTTATCAAATTCAATCTAGCACTAATTTATAGAGAATTTGATGCTCTTTCCAACCATATATAATTTATTGTGATTTGCTCAAAATTTAATAGAAGTATTGGCAATTGCTCTTAACCTTGTCAGGATTCAAAAAAAATTTAAACCTAAAAATTGAGATTATCCTTTCAATTTTTCTCTGTGTTGAAATCAAGATATTATAATGATTTTGGAGTTTTTTTCGACTAATTTAGACCCGCTCCAACGATTGGAAAAGTCAAAATTCAAAAAATCTGAAAAATAAAAATTGCGATTTTTTCAAAGGGTCCCCATTTGGATTTTAATTTCAAAATTTTCAAACTCAATTTTCTCGAAACCCGTCAAAGATTTTGGATCAATTTTTTTTGAGATTGTAGCCCTTGATGAGGAATTCAAAATGGTTTTTAGTTGAAGTCGCTGGCATTTACGGTTTTTGAGAAAATCGAGTTTGAAGTTTTTGACTAAATTTCAACTAAAATCCAACTTCCAGGCTCAATTGCTCTAAAAGTATTTAAGTTATCAAACTCAATCTAGCACTGATTTATAGAGAATTTGATGCTCTTTCCAACCATATATAATTTATTTTGATTTGCTTAAAATTTAATGGAAGTATTGGCAATTGCTTCTAACCTTGTCAGGATTTGAAAAAATTTTAAAATTTTAAAAACCTGAAAATTGAGATTTTCTTTTTGATTTTTTTCCTTTTTGAAATCGAGATTTGGAAATGATGTTAGAGTTTTTTTCGACTAATTTAGATCGGCTCTATAGATTGGAAAAGTCAAAATTCAAAAAATCTGAAAAATAAAAATTGCGATTTTTTCAAAGGGTTCCCTTTGGATTTTATTTCAAAATTTTCAAACTCAATTTTCTCGAAACCCGTCAAAGATTTTGGATAAAAAATGGTACTTACTTGAAGTCGCTGGCATTTACGGTTTTTGAGAAAATCGAGTTTGAAAAGTTTTTGACTAAATTTCAACTAAAATCCAACTTTGAGGCTCAATTGCTCTAAAAGTATTCGAGTTATCAAACTCAATCTAGCACTGATTTATAGAGAATTTGATGCTCTTTTCAACCATATATAATTTATTTTGATTTGCTCAAAATTAAATAAAAGTATGTATTGGCAATTGCTCCTAACCTTGTCAGGATTCAAAAAAAGTTTAAACCTAAAAATTAAGATTTTTGAATGATGTTAGAGTTTTTTTCGACTAATTTAGACTCGCTCTATTGATTGAAAAAGTCAAAATTCAATAAATATAAACAATAAAAATTTCGAATTTTTCAAAGGGTTACCCCTTTAGATTTTATTTCGTAATATTTGATTTTGGATATCTTAAAATCTATTAAAGATTTTGAATTAAAATTTCCAGGAAATGTAAGTGTTGACAAGGGCTTTAAAATGGTATTTAGTTAAAATCGCTAGCTCTCATGGTTTTTGAGAAAATCGAGTTTGAAATTTTTGATAAAATTTGGACTAAAAGTTAACTTTGAGATCCAATTACCCAGAAAGTATTCGAGTTATCAGAACCAATTTAGCATGGATTTATAGGGAATTTAATGCTCTTTCCAACCATATATAATTTATTTCGATTTGTTCAAATTTCTTTGAAGATATTGGCCATTATTCCTAACCTGGTCAAGATTTGATAAAATTTCCAGAACAAAAATTGAGATTTTTTAGCTTTTTGAAATCGCTATTTTGAAAGTGATGTTAGATTTTTTTCGATCAATTTAAATCCGCTGAATCAATTGGAAAAGTCAAAATTTCGAAAATATGAAAAATAAAAATTTCGAGTTTTCGATTGGTTTGACTGAAACCCCCCATAAGCAACGCCACTGGCCAAACAAAATACATGTTGCCAACTTGAAAAATAACCGGCCAATAGCAACAAGAGCCTGGAATAAACAGAAATTGGAATATAAAAAGGGAAACATATATAAATATATCAAAAGAACCAGAGCTGGGATCGTTACTTGAAAAAAGTAACGCGTTACTTTACAGTTACTTTTGCATAAAAACAACTCGTTACTTAAAATTTACAGTTACTTTCGAATAATGATAACTTTATTTTCGTTACTTATTGGAAAGTAACGCGTTACTGTAACTTCTTTACTTTGAAAGTAACTTCTTTACTTTAGAAATAGTTCGTTACTTAAAAATAACTCGTTATTTGAAAGTAATCCGTTACCTCAACGCGTTAGTTTGAAATAGAGCGCTACTTTTAATACAGCGTTACTTTTAAAGTAACGCGTTACTTCAAATAAAATAAATAGTTTGAAATAGAGCGCTACTTTTAAATACAGCGTTACTTTTAAAGTAACGCGTTACTTCAAATATAACTATTTACGTCGAAAATTGCGTTATTCCTTAATTTGACTCACGAAGACAGCAGTCCAAACAATCAAATAAGACCTTGACGAAATGCCAATATGTATTTAGTTTGTGAGTTCGAATATGTGGAAGAGTTTTGTTGCAAAATTCAAAAGGATTAAGGATTAAGCGACTAAATAGACAACTTGGTTTTGGACAAACCTGCTTTTTGAAGCGTCCCAGTGTCTGCATATAGTGTCTTTAGAGCAGAGGCGGCGCGCGCCACGCCCAAAAACGATTATTTTGGACTTTCAAAACAAATTTTCTGTAGGTACTACCCATATTTTATTTGACATACAAAGTTTTTGGATTACCTACTTATTTCCCTTTTCCTCAATCGTCAATTATTTGTAAAGAAGATAAACAAATTGAGAGAACGCGTTACTTTTATAGTAACTAGTAACACGTTACTTCCATATAAACGCGTTATCTTCATAGTAACGCGCTACTTTCATAGTAACTCGTTACTTTAACAAAATAACGATCTGCAGTTACTGCAGGAAAGTAACGTCGTTACAGTTACTTATCAATCAATCTGAAAAGTAACGAAGTTACCAAGTAACGCGTTACTTTTAGCAACTCGTTAAAGTAAAGTAACTATTTTTTGTCAATACTCCCAGCTCTGAAAAGAACAAATACAAATTTATATAAAAATCAAAGGACCGCACACACCACTTATGGGTATTTGGTTTTCTGTCAAACAAATGAAATTTGTATGTTAATGAAGTAAAATTTTAATACATCACGAGGAATGTTTATAAAGTGTGCTATTGTTAAAAATATTCAAAATTGATGCAATTTTAAAATCACCAGAAATTGCCATTTTTCAAAAAATCACCAGATCTGGTGAAATATCACCAGACCTGGCATCACTGTCAATGATAAACATTCTACCAAAATTACTCACCTACAAAATTATCCCAGCTTTCGCTCAGCTGCATATAATGCCTCAAACACACGCTAAGCGTGTCTGCGCAGTAACGCGAACATGCGCCTGCGCCCATTTCTCCTCTGCACACTCCGCACATTTGCATCTGCGTCAGCTGCGCCAAGCAATCTTGATCGAATCGCAAATTCGGAACGTCTCGAATCGTTTCTGCCGCTCTGGATAACGATTTGTAAAACGTTCTGGTGGCTACGAAGGACCTTTTCAGTTGTTGGGTGAGCTTGTGCGGTACGTCACCAAAGGGTTTCATTTCTAGCATGTGGTTGTTGACGCAAACTAAAGAAAAGTAACTATTAGAACATGGAAATTGCTACCACCATATGAGAACACTTGAAAATATTTTGAAATCCTGAAGATGACACAGATCTATTGTCAGCTTCAATAAAACTGGTTCAAATGAGCTGTAACTTATTATGTATATTACTTACTCATATAGTTATCGTCAAAATTGTACTGCGAATTAATCACCATAAACATTTTTTGGTATAAAATACCGAAAAAATTGTCCATGGTATCCGAAAGACGCACTGTGCCCTTTTTGTAGTACGTTTCTAGTTCGTAAAAGAAATCGCTAAACACTCCGGCGTTTTGTAGGTATATTTTTCCGTATGTCCGGTTGAACATGTCGTGGAATTCGAATTTCGATTGGTTCATCATGTGACGGAAAATCTCTGAAAATAAAAAAAATACATTTAGCATTTCTCAAATAACAAAGTTGTTGTAAGTTCACGATATTCTATCCTTCGCAAGTAATTGTTTTTATTATTAGGTTTCTTCCTCAACTTTGCAGATGTGATATTTTCTTGTTGTACAAACATTAAGAGAGCAAACATTGATTATCAATAGTTTTAGCTCAGGGAACAAGAAGTTGTAATTTATTAATTTGCGATTTTTTATAAATCTATTCTTTTGGGTACCTAGGTATCTTTCTATTAGATTAGGTAAGTAGGTACCAATGTAATTTTATAGTAATATCGACTTCTGGTGATGTTGACTCTCCAGACTCTCAAAGTTAAATGAGGTTACGTGGGTTGATTTGTGATCTTGGATGGTTTATTACCCTCTTGTGGGATTTAAACGCTAAAACAATTGAAACAATATCCAGGTGTCTGCCTGCCTTTTTGTTCTTTACCGTTTGTTGCTTTGGCACTACAATTGCTCCGATTTTCAAGACTTTGATTGATAAGTTGAATCGGAACATGTATGGAACTTTTGTTGCTACTAAGCATTTCTCTCCCTTAATTACAAAATGATTTGGTATGTTGTTAGTTCCTTGCCTTCATGAAAATAAGTTTACCTAGCTCAAGAGCAGTGTATTTATTTATTTTTTTGTACAAATTGTAAATACTTTACATTTGCCTGAATTTTCTTATTGTCCCAACGGTCTAATTGCGGCCTGTGAAAAGAGCCTTGCTGTATGTTGGTGATCTCACCCTTAAAGCACTATGCTCTCAGTTCGAAAGTACAATAAAACCTTATGAAAATATATGATGATAGCTATTTTATTTTAATTTTTTTTTTACTACACAACCAGCCATCAGGAATCTGCCTGTGGATAAATCGGAAGAGATCCGAATTGTGCAAGCTAATATTTTACGAAATGTTGACCACCCAACAGTAACTTTCCAAAGTAAGCGCTAATGACAATTAAAAGCCTGAAATCAGTTCAGGATATTATAATTTCACCGGCTGACGAAGATAATGCTATCGTCTCGATGAGATGAAGATATATTTTTTTTTCAAAGATTCCAAGAATCTATGTCTCTGGCTGAGAATACAAGAACCGCGACATCTGCACACATAAAGAATTTTGCCTCCAATCCAGCATATTTCAAGCTATGTACATAAAGTAAGTAAAGCAAGAGACCAAGCTCTGACCCCTGCGCTACCCCCACATTCAAATTTACTACGTTGCTGTCATAATTGTTCACCGTTGTGTAGTGCTTCCTGCTAAGCGAGTACGTTTTTAACAAACTTTCACATAAGCCTCGAAATCCCATTTCATTATTACCTATTTTTTTAGTTCGATATCAACAGTATCGAGGGTCTTCTGCAAGTCCACAAAGAGAGCCACAACATATTATTTTTATTGGTCTATTTCATTTGAGATGTACTCTAAGAGATAGGAAACTGCTCCTAAGGTGTTGCTCTTCTTTTGAAATCCATATTGTTGCTCATCAAATTGGAAAATTATTTCCTATGAATTTAATAATTCGTCTTTTGATAATCCTTTCTACTTATTTGGAGAAAGTACAACAGCAACAACAACAGTGTATCACTGAAATACCACTTAAGGTTAATAGGCAGATCAGAAGACGATCTCTGCAGATTCTGCTCAGACGCAAAAGAGACCGCAGAGCACCTGCTCTGCGAATGTCCTGCCCAATTCTGCAAGAGGCTCGAATTCCTCGAGGGCGCAACACTGTCACCAGAAAAAGTGGGCCAACTGACACCCCGAAAAATAGCTTATTTTGGCAGAAGTCTACGCTTCCAGGAGACAATTTAAGATGTAGAGTCACGTACAAAATATCTGCAAATGTAGCAGAGCTGAGCGGCTGGAAAGCCGAAACGACTCTCCATACAATCTACAATCCACAATAGTAGCCGCCATAGATATTCGAGATTCCGACAAAAAATGATTTCTCTGTGGCGATGCCCCGGGAAAAATCAAAAATTCTACAGATGAGGGTTGAGAATCAATTCAGTCACAATCAATGAACAGTGATATTGGCCTGTAATTGTTGAGATCTTAACACTTTCCAGTTTCCACTCTTGTGTACGGGGATAATATTTGAAAAATTCCTGTTTTCAATATATTATTTATCATATTCACGAATCTATCTTCTATTACACATATTAGTTTTTTCAAGCCCTTGGGTAAAATTTTGTCAACACCTGGCGGCGATTTTACTAAATATAAACTATTACAGCACAAGACACGCCCCCAACTTCGTCATTGCAAAATATAATCGACCTCAGCGCGATTTTACTAAATATAAACTATTAAAGCACAAGAGATGCTAACCCTTAACGTCATTGCCAAATATAATCGTGCTCAGCACATCCCTGCAAAATCTAATCATTTGTAACACTACGTGGCGGATCTAGCCTCAAATTTTACTTGTTGTTAGAAGCACTCTTTAGAAATTAATTATTATTGTTAGTATTGTGTGTTTTCATTATGGATAATTTAATTCAACTTATTAATCCATTGTGTAACAATGCAAATGTTAATATAATCGAGTATGAAAATCAAAACAATTACATAGCAGTACTTCGCTTAAAGTTAAAATTCCGACGACTTTAACTTACGTTGCAATGAGTGGGTGAACGAATTTTCAATAATAACAAAGACACAATGGATAGTGAAAAAACTTTGCCAAAACTGCAGATTATTGTTTCGTAAATACGTGTGCCATCACAACAGCTTTAATAAAGTATCGGCAGATAAATAAAACTATCAAACTTTATATCATTGAAATCAGCAAAAACAGAGCTATCCAATGAGCTATTAATATATAGGGTGTTTTATTAAAAAATATTGGACTTTGATCGATATCTCGAAATCGGAGCGAAAAAAACTGAGTCCGCCACTGGATTGTGCTCAAAAAAGTATCTCCAAAATGTTTTTACAGAAATAAAAAAAATTGATAAACAAAAAACTTATAGCTATTTGTCATAATAGGAGAAAATAGGAAATCGCCCTGTATCAATGGTACCATTGAAGATATCGTGATACGGTTTTTGACAACCGACGTTTCTCGAAAATCGATTCCATGACAGGTTAATTTTCTTCTATCTGGTCTAGAAGTATGTTTTTCCTGGTTAAAACACTCCAAATTGCAGCACCTTGTAAATTTTTAAAATTCGATAACTGTATTTTTTTTCAATTGATTCATTTATATGAATCAGCCGCACGTTGTGCTGCCAACGATTAGATTTTGGAGGATTGTGCTGAGCGCGATTATATTTTGCAATGTTAGCGTCTCTTGTGCTCTTGTAGTTTATATTTAGTAAAATCGTGCCCAGGCCGATTATATTTTGCAATGACAAAGTTGGGGGCGTGCCTTGTGGTGTAATAGTTTATATTTAGTAAAATCGCCACCTGGCGAGCTGCTTTTGTTTCAATTCTGCAATTGTGTTTATAATGCTCCTTATTGTTCATTTTTTGTCCATCATTCTCAATTTGCTTTACTTATATATTACTTTTCTTTTTTTTTCTACACAGTTCATGTATATGCATTTGGCAATCTCTTCCATCTAACGTAGTAGTCCAAGAGCCCAGAGCCGCCAGACACAACTTATTTTCTAAAGGACAGAATGTGTGGGATTGGATAGCACTTATAGGTACTATGAACGTATGTATACTCGCTAAGTTGGGTAGACGGCCAATTGACTGTTATTTGTAAAAAACGGTTTTTCCCATTATGGGAAAAACCAAATCCCATTTCTACTCTGGCCTGGAGTACACTGTAAGTTTGAAAAGGGGAAATCAGTTGACATAGATATCTCGCTCACTCTCAAACGCATGCATAAGTACCCTCGCGCTCACACTCACGGAAAAATTATTATTGCGTCTGGGGGGATGTTTGGCCCGTGCGATTGGTCTGGCTGAGCACACGTAGTTATGAAATAGTCTCCCCAATAACATATATAAAAATCAAGCGTTAGAATAGAAGTTAAAAATTTTCTCAGCTTTCGCACCTGATGTCGGTAAATTGGCCGTCTACCCAACTCAGCGGGTATACATACGTTCATAGTACATATAAGTGCTACTCATCAATCCCACATATTCTGTCCTTTAGAAAATAAGTTGTGTCTGGCGGCTCTGGGCTCTTGGTCTATAGAGGTCATCCCCTTTTTTCAAAATGCGTAAAAATTCCGGTGTGATAGATACATTATTGCCAGATTCAACTTTGTACGTATATTTTCTAGAACACCGACTTTTTGAGCTCACAATGATTTCAGCCATTTCTTGGAAGGTGTTTAGGTTATTCTTATCAAGTGCTTTTGCTTCTACCATCCGTCTCCATCTCTCTTCATCTATTTTGATCTTTGTCATTTCTTCCTTTCTGTATTTATCTATCATTCTATTAACATTTTAGTTTCATCATTTTATGATCTGAAATTGTGTGGTCATGCCTCGGGTCACGGGTCACGCAGTTTAATTTGGCACTGTATGTTATTATTTACCATAACATGACATGATCCAATATTGTTCTTCTTGTTGGCGTTGTACGTGTAGCATTTTCAAGTGTAAGTTTATTCTTTATTTGAAAAGCATTCATTGTTATAATATTTTTATACTCGTTAAGTCGTTACCTGTATGGGAATCTAGCAGAAAATTTATGTTCATATCACCTATTTTTATACAAAAGTTTTTTTTTCCCCTTTCCATTATTTTGTCGACTTCACTAAGGAATGTAGGGACGCTACTACTCGGTGGTTTATAAAATTTGTTTTTTTTTTTAAGATAAAAGTCAAAATGACCTTATGTTGGCAATATAATGTAAAATTGTCAATGCTTTCAAATTTTTTATGTAGAAAAGGCTTGTGCTGCCAACATAGTTACTAAATTATTGACTTGGGGAATTATCTTTAAATAAAAAACATACTTTATATACTCCATATTATGCATTTAGATTATGCCAGAGTTATTGACAGCACATTA